CATGCCGTGGACGTGGCCTTACTCACCCAGTGGTCCACGAGACTTCTCCAGCTGCTGGGAAGTGTCTCTGAGCTCTGAGGAATGTTCCACAATCAGGTGTCAAGGGAACATGGTAACTTCTCCAGAACTGTGTCCTCTCTCTCCCCTGGTGGACGAGTGACATAAGGCCGGTCATGCAAAGAGGAGAGGCCCTGTGAGGCCAGGGTCCTACACAGTCCAAATTGCTCTCAGAGTCTATCTTCACCCAGGGACTGCAGCATCTTTCAGGGGCCAGCAAGCTTGTTCTCAAAGTGACAGAGGATGTCGGACTGGCCAGGACTCATCCTGCATCCTCATCCTGAGTCTGTACTTGGGAACCAACTTTGTGATGCCGCTAAGAGTAGCTGGCACTTGTGTACTACGACCTCAAGCCGTAAAGGGCTCTCTAGTGATGTGCAAACGCTCCAAGGTTGGGATCTTCCTGGAAGTCAAGATCCTGCTTTGCAGTACATCAGCCTGGCTGCCCAAAAATATTACACAAGGCATGTCTCCGTCTTGGTTTTAACATACAAAGTAATTCTAGTTCTGAAACACATCAGTCGGGGCTGTAGGGCTTAGCAGAACATCTGAGCAGTTCTCGGAGGGGCTGGTGCTCAGGGCTGGAAGCTTCAATCGGCATCTGCCTGGCCCAGAGGATCTCAAACTTGCCTGAACAAGAGGATGGCTTGAGGAGGTCTAATAAATGCCGGTGCCCAGAGGAACGAACTTGGGGATTCTGTTGATGGTGGAGCTGAGCATTAGTGGTTTTCAGAGGCTCCCCCAGTGTGCAGCCAAAACGCACTAGCCTTACTGGATCTTGGGGAGAGGTCTTCACCACCCATGAAAGGTAGGTTTGAGCACATCAGTGGCTGGATGGAGGGTGTGCTGGGGGTCGGGGTGTCCTTATTGGGTGCAGACTTGCCCCTCTTTCTTGAGGTTGGAAGGAATGTGAGCAAAGAGGGCTATCGCATTTGCAGTTCCAGGGCAAAATGAAAATGTGGGTCCTTGTTCACGCTTCATTAAGAATTTCAAGATGGCGGTCATAGGGCATTAAGTCAATAGGCGTCCTTATGAACCGAGGGTCCCGTGTAGCAACATGGGTCACTTGCCCAGGAAAGCGGCCTTGGGTGCATACAGAAGAAGCCATGACCTCCGTGGTTTTCCAGGTCACCAGAAAAAGAATGGATGTTTCCTGAGTTTCCAAGTATCCAGTTCATGTACCATGCAGTGGATTGAATATTTTCTACCAAAAAGATATGACCACGTCCTAAACCCCGTTACCGGTGGATATGACTTTGTCGGCAAAAGGCTCTTGACAGATGTAACTAATGAAGGATCTTGAGATGAAGAGATCATTCTTGATTATCCAGATGCAAGTGAAGGGTCTGAGATGAGGTCCTCTTGGATGAGGGTGGCCCTAAATCCAAGGACAGGGTCCTTATAAGAGACAGAAGAGGAGAGACACAGACACAGAAAAGCCACATGAAGACACAGGCAGCGATGGGAAGGAGGCGGCCACAAGCCCAGGGACACCTGGAAACCCCAGAAGCTGGAAGAGGCAGGAAGGACCCTCCCCTGGGGCCTCTGGAGGGAGCACAGCCCTGGGACACCTTGACCTCAGACATCTGGTCTCCAGGACCTGGGGCTGGATGAATTTCTGCTCTTTTCAGACTCCTAGTTTGTGGTCCTGTGTTACAGCCGCCCTGGACACTCTTATACACGACATAATAGTGAGCTGTTTGAATAAGCAAGGTCTTCCACGGGGACCACGTGCCCCCATCTTCACACAGTGATCTGAGCCACAGGCCACCAGGACCCACAAATCGTCTTGTGGCTTCACACCATAATCATCACCTCTCCTGCAACTGCGATGAA